CAGAATGCATAAGATCAAAAGGTTTAGACGAAGTAGTGAAACTTTTATTAAATGGTAAAGCAGTAAACTTTGCTAGTTTGCATCCACTACAATCGGAAATATTATGACTACTCAAAGAACCTAAGACACCAGTAGAAACTAAATACTGTAAACGAGAACTAGACACATGACCAAGGCGAGAATGCCATAAATAAAAAACAGACGACTTAGGACACAACCGAAAAGAAGACAAATCAACTGAAGATGCAGCAAGCAGAGGAACATGCAGCGTCTCCAGAACATACAAACCTCCCAACCTACAGTCGGTCCCAATCAGCTGCTTGGAATGAGGATCCTGCACAACACAACTAGATTCAAAGAAGTAAACGCAATAACCAATGGCACAAAGTTGACTAATAGAAATAAGATTTTAAGTTAACTGAGGAATACAATAAACATCCGAAAGAGAGAGTATCAGTCAAAATGGACCCAACCCCGGCCAAAGACATAGGAGTACCATTGACGGCCATAACAGTAGTAGTAGAAGGAGGAGAAAAGATAGACAATAAGAGGGAGGAATCATGAGTCATATGATGTGTAGCACCAGAATCAAAAACCCATATGGAACGAGATATACCTGGAGGAGATGAGAGGGAGGAAGACAAACCAAGAGGTGAGGAGACAACTAAGGCATTTGGTGTATGAGTAGAGAGGAGTTTCTGCAGTTGTTCAGCAATAACAGTCAAAGATGGAGAGGAATCATCCACTGAAGAAGTCATGACAGCTGTATGTCCCTTTTTCCAAGAGGATGATTGGCCAGAATGCCTATCAGAATTCTTTCTCCAAGTCGGTGATTGCCCAAATGGTGGACGACCCAAAAGCCGAGGACACTAAGCCTTCCAGTGACCTTTTTAATGACAAAAGTTGCATTCATCCATAGGAGCACAAGCATAGGATTTGTTAGGAGTAGTAGAAGAATGACCAGTAGGAACGGCTAGAATTGTTTGAGTTGGCAAAGAAAACAATCCTTTGCCAAGAGCTATTTTGAAGCGAAGTTCTTCAGCCAATAACTCATTAACCACAGAATCAACAGAAGGGAGAGGACTCAGATACAGAATAGTACCGCGAAGCCCCTCAAAATCAACCCTAAGGGCCATTAAGAATTGAACTAGCCGCTGCTCCTCCCGATAAGTACAATATGCCGCATGAGTGCTTAATGACTCAGTAAAAGCCAATTGATCCCACAAACCAGTCATGGTAGAATAAAATTTCTGGATACTCTTATCGCCTTGTTAAGTAGCACAAATCTCATGTTCTAACTGATACTGTTTAGCAAAATTTGATTGAACATACAACCGAGATAGATGATCCCAAATTTGTTTCGCAGTAGTAAACTTGCCAAAATGAATCCCAATAGACTGATCTACAGAATTAATCCAAATGATAATCTTGGCATTAGTACCTTGCCAAGTAGAGAGCAAATCTTGAAGCTTTTCAACATTGGCATCAGTGGGCATAGGAGAATCACCAGTAACAACATCCCAAACATTTTTACCCAGAAGAAAATTTTTCATGACATAGGCCCAATAAACATAATTATCTCCCACTAACTTCACGCTAATGGCTTGAAGTGAATCTAACATTCCACTAGACATGATATCAAAATATAAAAAACCTCACAGAGAAGTCACAAGGAACCAACAACACAAAGAAGAAAGAAGAAGAGAAGCTGAAGCAGATTACCTAAGTATCACTCCTTTGAACAAAACGAGCCGATATCAGTCGTGATTAGAAGAACCAAACGCGACTGTGAGATGAGAGGGAGAGTCGTGAGGAAGAAACGACTTCGACTGTGAATCGCGACTGTGAATAGACTTCGTGAGGCACCAACACAATTGTGAATCGCGACTTTGTGAGACACAGACAAGCCCACTCGACTTCGACTTCGCAAGGCATCAACGCGACTGTGAATCGCGACTTCGTGAGACACAGACAAGCCCACTCGACTTCGATGCAAGAGTGTATAGCGCGAACGAAGAGAAGCAACCAACACGACTGTCTTCAATCCATAGCAACACCAACGAGAGGTTAGCTATCAAAACCAAGCTCTGATACCATGAAAACTTAGTTAGGAACTAAGTATCGTATTATTCGATTGAATGGAAAAACGACTTACAAGAAATATATATATATATAACAACTATGCTAACCCTAATTGCTACCAATGACTAAACTACCCTTAATACATATGTTAAACATATGCTTAACAAAGGGGACATTACCCTACCTGCCTTCATGCTTGTCCGTTCGCTTACTCATGGAAAACCTGCCCAGTGCAGACACCACCCTTGGTACGGACCCTACAATGGAGGTGTTTGGTGTAAATCCCATGTACCGTCCCCATCACAGTGCCCCTAGACTGGTTCTGATACCACTTGTCACAAACTGAGCGCTTGACATCCTCTCAAGAAGCCAGCTCCATGAGTGTTACTGCATACCCCCATGTGTTAAGCCCAAGGACCAGCCCAAGAAATGTAATAGAGATCTACCCTGCCTGCCTTGCCGCTCACAAACTAATGCGCTTGCAAGGTGCTTGGTGTAAAACTCACACCCCCAAAGAGTTGGTACGTAACATGCTACCACCGCTAATTCCTGACGCCCTCGTCGGGGGGACATTACCTAGGGGTGTAATTTTGGCCCGTGGGCAGCCCGAAGCCCGCCCGTGGCCAGAGGTGGGCCCGGCCTGTTTAGGCCCAAGCCCAGAGGCCTGGGCCATTGTTTTAAAGCCCGGCCCGAGGCCCGGCCCGCCCGAGGCCCAATGTTATTTTTAATGGAAAATAATAAAATTTTGGTAGAAAAAATTTTAAAAAATAAAAAAATTTGTTTATGCCCGCCCAAGCCCGAGCCCAGGCCCAAGCCCATGGGCCCGGCCCGAGGCCCGACCCACTGGCCCGCCAATAGCCCAAATACCCCTGGACCTGGGCTTAGGCCTGGGCCTAGTTTTTTGGCCCGTGGGCCGGTCCGGCCCGACCTAATTTTTTGGCAGGAGCCTGCAAGGCCCGACATGGGCCCGGCCCGGCCAAAATTACACCCTTAACATTACCCTGCCTGCCTTCATGCTTGTCTACTCCCCTACCCATAAGAAACTTGCCCCGCATCATGGACTGGGCGCTTGTCATCCTCCTGAGAAGCCAACTCCATGAGTGGTATTGCATACCCCGTGTAATAAGGCCAAGGACCAACCAAGGAGATACGATAGGAATCTACCCTGCCTGCCTTGTTGCTCACAAACTAATGCTCTTGCAAGGTGCTTTTGTGTAGAACTCACACCCCCAATGAGTTGGTACGTGACATGCTACCACCACCAATCCCTGACGCCTTCGTCAGGAGGACATTACGCTGCCTGCCTCCATGCTTGTCCGTTCCCCTACCCATGGGAAACCCGCTCCGCGCGAACACCATCCTTGGTGCGAACTCCACAATGGAGGTGCTTGGTGTAAGTCTCACGTACCGTCCCCATCACAGTGCCCCTAGGCTAGTTCTGATACCACTTGTCACGGACTAGGCGCTTGTCATACTCTCCAGAAGCCGGCTCCACGAGTGGTACAGCATACCCCTGTGTATTAAGCCCAAGGACCAACCCAGGAGATACGATAAGGATCTACCTTGTTTGCCTTGCCGCTCACAAACTAATGCGCTTGCAAGGTGCTTAATGTAGAACTCGCATCCTGAATGAGTCGGTACGTGTTAAGCTAACTAAACCATAGTCACTGTGATTCGAATGATTGTCGTAGTGGACCTCTTGAAATCTGAGAAAAAGAAGAGTTTTTATGGACTACTTGACAAAAGATCAATTAAGCATGTCATTCAACAAATAAATTGGTGGGGCCATGTCAATTCAATAATTTAAAACATGGAGATAAGTATTGACTTTTGAAAAAAGACATGAAAACCAACCAAGCAAAGCAGGCAACAATCAGAAAGCTAGTGGGTCCCATGATGATCATAATACAACAAATATCAAAAAGCAAATTCACATGAATTATTTTCAAACAACCAAACAAAAGTCTTGCATAGGCTCCACCCAAAAATCAATCACTACCTCAAGTGGGACCAAGTTGTTGGCATAATGAAGCCCAACAAATCAACAAGCTTATTTTACTAAGCACACACAACGTGCATTATTTTGACCGAGCACTATCACATTAAATCAAACAATGGACCGAGCAGTGTGTCAAATCAAGATCAAGCATTACAAGCACAATTGAGCATGACAAACCAGGCACTTTTGATTTCCTTCGTTGGGCTAAAGCTGCACTCGAGAATGGGAGACTACTGATGGGCATATAGCCCAAATAGGTGGTCCAACGGGTCGTCCAAATAATTCCTAACCCAACTTAGGCCCAGGGGCCAGACAAAAAGAAGAGATAAGCTACCCTCTTTTCTTCCGTGATTTCTGTGACATGACGACGCTGCCATGGCCGGCTACAAATAGCCATAGACTTACGGATGGTAAGACAGCGTGAAAAAACAAAGACAGGAGAGCAATCATGAGTGAGGCACGATAAGCCAAGCGACCAACAAAGGTATGAAAGATATCAATACATTCATACTCTCTAATGACTTCTTGACTCTTTTTTTTTTCCAATCTAACTTAACCATTGGAGGGTCCTCAAGAAGGAGCCCCACCCCTGGGTCCTTCCTACCGGACTTGATGCAGGTGCTGCTGGGAAGACGAAGTTCGGCCAACCTATGGAGCATCCGGATCCTATTCGACCCATCTCTCGTCTGACCAAACTACATCATCAAAATTTAATTCTAGAATATTTATACTATAAATTTCAAGAATCCTAATCAAATAATATATCAAAAATATTAAAACTAAAAATACATAAATTCTTAAAATCTTGTTCTACATCACACTAACACACATATTGTTGCTAAGATACATAGGGCAAGAGATTACAATGGGAACGAACTGCTGAAAATTGGGGGGGGGCTGGGGGGGGAGGGGGGATTACCACAGAACCACCACCAATGAAAGAGAAAGAGCCAACACTGCAAAATTGATGAACAACAATGGCCCCTGCAGTGTGAGCATAGTCCTGCATGCAAAACATTTGCTCATAAAGTTTAAATTCAAGCTGTATTTGAGACAAAAATACTTGAATTGTTACCATGTCGTAAACTATGAGAAATTAAATCAAGACTTGCCTCCACCACCACATGGCCTGCTAAAAGAGTATTATTTGCAAAAATATTGTTGTTACCCACTTTGCAGTCATGGGCAATATGACAAGACCCCATAATCAGATTGTTATCACCAATGACCTGATCACAAATGCCCATTGGATTGTGGAAAAAATTGCCTAAATTGTATATAGAAATTCAAAATTTTACAAAGGGAAAAAAAGAGTCATTCCCATACTGTTTTTTCACTTGGCTTGGAAGATCGATGGATAGAGGCATATTCCCTGATCTCATTGTTGTCTCCAATCTCTAGAAAGCATTCATCACCTGACTAAAATTGTGGACAAGATAGGAGAGTGGTTGTCTCATTTCAAAAATAGCCAAATTTACATTAAAAATAAATAAAACCAAATGTGGGTTTGTATGAGTGAATTTCATGTTAATTAATGTCTCAATAATAGTCACAATGATGAGATGCAATGATGATAAGAATGATGTTAGTCTTGAAATAATGATGATTGAGAGGAAGTTACAAAAATAAAATGCATGAGATGCATGATTTATTATCAGTAAAAGTAGAAACTAACCTTGTATTTCATATCTTGGCATTTTATACCAACCAAAGAATGATGCCCTATAACATTATTGCATCCAATGACTGTATGCCCAGGAAGATCGTCTCCAACCACAGCGCCACTGTTTGATAATTTCACACAACACAACAAACATATCAACGATAATTTAATTATAAAAAAGAAAAAAGAAAGATTATTCACACATTGCACAGACAACGGAAAAAGGAGGATGTAAACTCACCTCATCAAAATGCAGTGATCCCCAAGTTCTGTATTCCCAAAAATATGACTTCCTGGATATAGCTGACAAGAATTACCCAACTTTGCAGAAGAGCCAACTGTACAAAATGGACCAATTGAAACACCCTGCATAGAAAGGTGAAGTTACAAATCTCCACAACCTGTTTGAAAATTTGAAATGCTAATCAAACTGCCCAATGTAAACTTTATCAAACATTTTGAAAAATTAAAGACTGGGCAGAAGCAAGCCATCTAAGGAATAAATCAAGCACCTGCAATCTTGATTGTGGTTAGTTTACTTTGGCTCTTACAACCAATGAGGTTTCAACGAAAGGACTACTCAACAAACTCATCTATTGCCCACATACTGATTATCAAAGCATAAAGGAAGACCCAATGCATGATGCTCCCACTAAAACTGGGTCTAAAGAGGGCAAGATATACACAATCTTATATTCATTATGGAGAGGCTGTTTCCCTTACTCCAACCCAAGGGCAGTGTTTGGATCAAGGATTTGCTGAGGGAAAGAAAATAAGAAGAGGGAAATGAATGAAATAAAAGCTAAATTTTTCCCTTTCCTTTTTCTTTACCTCCACAAATCCCTTTCCAAATCCTAAATCTAAACAGAACCAAGAAAAGGGAAGATATACGCAACCCAACCCACATTTCTAGAGAGGTTATTTCTGTCACTCAAACCCGACTCCTGAGCCACTAGTGACACAAACTGCAAGCATTTCCGTTCCCTTTCAGTGATCAATAATACTACACTTACCACATTCTTATGCCATATTATCCTAATCATCTTACTTAACAACACAATACTGGTGTAATGGGTCTCCTCACTCATATGTACCTCCAATGCACTAGACACACATTAAATGGAAAGATAATATTGTAAAAAGAATAACACATTACTCTTTGGTGATTGGCAAACAATTATCCCCAAAATTTCAAAACCAAACAAACTGGCACACAACAAACAACCAAAAAATGTACTGTTTTAGGTAAACAACGTCCACCAAACCTGGATTATACCCTGTAATTAACTCAACAAAGCCTAGTCCAAACTAATTAGACACTATGTAAACACATACACATATAATTTTTGTGTATGCCAACATACATTATACAGGAAGATCAGGAAAGTAGAACAATTACCTGACCTATGACGGCCCCTGAATGAACAATTGCAGCTGGATGAATAAAGCTAGGGTTTCTTCCAATCTTAGCATTGTCTTTGGTCTCCTCCAAAATATCTGCACAAAATCGCAATTCAATTTCGCAACTTAGCAAGTTTCAGAGAGATAGAGACAGCATGTGAACATTACACAAACAAAATCAACTATACATATATACATATATATATATAGAGAGAGAGAGAGAGAGACGAGGAAGTGAAGTGGAGAAGTGTTGGAGAGAGAGAGATCTGATTCTGAGAGCAGAGGACAGTGGTCTGCGAAGAAGCTGGAGAAGTGAAGACGACGACATGGGTGCACGAAAATTGGGTGTCTCCGTGGGCGGGCTTTGTCTACGATTTTTTATAGGGGAAATTACCCATAGGTCCCACGTGGAACATGTGGACATCATTTAATTCCATAACTTTTTGAGTACATTCAAAAGTCCTTTCCCCTCTCTCTGCTTTTTGCTTCCATCTTTACGCCTCCTCCTTTAACCCTAATCTCAGTCCTAAAGTTAAACAAGAAGGCGATGAAGAACAAGAACAAGAAGACGATGAAAAACAAGAACAAGAAGACGCTCATCCTCAGATCTGTACTTAGATTGAACAGATTTGTGTATATATCTTTGTCAATTTCTCTCTCTATTTACAGATTTTTTTTGGGATAGTTGTTGATCTATGGTTGTTGTTGTTATTGATGATGAAATAGATCTATAATATCATTGAAACAGATTTGTAATGACTCAGATTTGTACAGATATCACACAGATTTGTAATGAGAAAATTTTCGAATTCTGAACAAGTAATTTTCGAGTTTTAGTTACAAGCGGTGAAAACTGTAAAATTTTGCAGTTTCAAATTTTTTTTTTGGTGCTGGAATGAATCATGGTTTAAAACTGTAAAATTTTGCAGTTTTATAACATTTTTTAAAACTGTAAAATTTTACAGTTTCATAACATGTTTTAAACATTCCGACGAGTCTCCGGCGATGTTGAACATTCCGACGAGTCTCCGACGACCGTTTGACGGAAGTCCGACGATAGTAAGATGTGAATAGTGTCTGTAAATTAAAAAAAAAAAAAAAGAATTTTTTGGTAACAATTAAAAATGTATTGGGCTAATTGGTGCAAGTATTTTGTTTTGGGATTAGCTGGGTTTTGAACTTAGTACATGGGACTTATCAGTAAGTTCCCCTTTTTTATATGTTGATTATTAGAGTCGATCTGAACCGTTGAGTTCTTGATTGATGCCGCAAGTTGAGTGTCTTTGTGTTAATTGTAGGAGTCATCATGGATCAGTTCAATCCGTTCGAATGACTCAACTCAATTGATCTCAATTGATTTTAGGAGAATGTGTGTATTTTAATAGATGAATGTGGATAAAATATTTTAAAATTTATGGATATAATTTGATTGGGGATCACCTATTCTACATCCGCATGAATCCGATTTGTCCATAGATTAAATTTTATAAAAAAAAAAAAAAAATTGTTAGCAAGTAACAATATAGAATAGAAACAATAAAATATATATTTTTATGAAAATACAAAAAATAATACCTTAAAAATATGTATGCATGATGCTATTGCCTATTATAGACAAATAATACATATTTTTTCATATTACAAGTTATTAGAGATCATAAAAGTTATGAATTATAATTCAAAAAAATATTCAAAATTTGTAGAGTCCAAACTGTCAAACCGATCGCATCTATCTGTCAACTCACACGGCCTATTCAATTTGTATCTGCCAAACTAGTGGATGGATGTGGATTTTTTTTTTTTCTAATCTGCCTAATTTTGAATAGATGATGAATGAGATGCTATCCAACTCAAACCGATTCGCGATCATCCTGGTTCCTTGAATGAATTGTGGCAATTGAATTCAGATCTTTATATAATGATATAAGATGTATGGTCCTGATTATGGAAAGTACAATAAGTGATTTGGTGGCTCTGGGCCACGACTACATGATGTTTTAAAAATATTATGATTGGTGGAAAATATAGAACCTACAATTTTTTATTTGATGATTGAAAAATAGCAAAGAACATGGTGTATTGTGATTGGTGAGTAGCGCACCAGGAGTACCAAATAATTTTTTCAAACAAATACTTTTTTGGGTAAATGATAATTACTTCCTTGAAGTTTGGAAAAAATTAAGAGTAGTCCAACAGTTTTGACATAGGCTTTGTTTATAAAGAGCTAATTTAGCCTTATTTTTTAGCTTTTTGGTTTTGAGAATAACTTTTGGCTTTTTTCTTTTGGTTTTTTTTTTTTTGAATGTGATGGCTGTAAGAGAGAAAGTGAAATGATTATGCTCTAGATGTAATATTTTGTCTTATTAATTTATAGTCTATTTTATTTTTTTGTGCTTATATAGGCAAAAAAATTATTGTCAAGTGGAAACATGATTATACTAACTTCTCTTTTAGTAGCGTTAAAAGGGTTTAAATCAAATGCAAATAGTATAAAAATAAAAGGATAAAAAAAGATAAAACTGTTGAAAAGTCCAACCTAAAGAAGCTATAAGGCATTAGGTCCAACGAATATTTTTTGTTTGTGAGAGATCCACCTTTTGTGAAATGGCTTGGTGAGAAGTCCTTTTATTTGTTTTGAAGGACATTTTTTTTTCAATTTTATCCCTTAATTTATTTGTTGACTTTTTTTTTTGACTATCTGTTAAAATTTATGTCTATTTGTTCAAATTTTTTGTTTATTTGTTCAAATTTTTCCTTTATCTGTTCAATTTTTTTGCTTATCTGTTCAAAATTTATTATCTGTTTTAAGGATCATTTATACTATCTGTTCAAATCTTTTTCAATGCCAATTTTTTTATCTATTCATTTGCAAGCTATTTCTAACAACAAAAAAATCAAAATCAAAATCACATATCAATAACCGATTGATCTGAGCCAAATCAAAGACAACAACCACCAATCTATGTCTTCTTCTCCATTTGATTTATATAGTATTCAACAATTACCAACCCAACCCAACCACCACCATTCCTCAACAATTCTCAACCCAAACTTAACTCTCTGAAGTTTAGATCAAAAAAAGATAGTGATAGAGAAGGCGATCTACCTCTTTTTTCATTTCTCTTCAACTAAACAATCTCATATCTGAGCTCATAGAAACAACTATGGTTTCATCTTCAGGACACCTAGGACATCGACAACGATGTCTCCGCCGACGGCAATCTGAGACGTAGTCGATTTTTCTCCAATCTCTAGAGCTATCATCTTATCTTCGGTTATTTATCTCTTCTCGCTAAATCTTTTATTCGTGAGAGTCTTTATAATCGTCACATCGTCGCGTTCCTCTTAGCTATTGGATCGGCTCACATCTCTACGCTGATAAACAACAAGAACAGTGGTCATGGCTATGGAAGCCAGGTCGACAGTGTCGATCAACGGTAGCGAATCCACTACCACCACCTCTGCACCACTAGGGTTTTCAAAGAGGAACATACATTTCTTAATGGTTTCAATCTCAACATCAGAGCAACGAACAACGTTGACGGCTTTCTCATCATTTCTTGTAGTCGCGGTAGAAGCCTTCTTGTAGATCATCACTGGTAGATCTTTGATTGACGAAGGGAGATAATAGGTGTCACAACCCGAACCAGCCCCTATAAGTTAGGATCATAACCGGCCAGTAATCATGAGATTACCTACAACCTCAGACTAAAATCAAATCATATTTAATAATAAGGGGCCAGAAACGAAAGCAGACTAATAAATTTTGTCCAATGAGTTATGCATATGTGACATAACAAAAACTTTTCACTTATCTAATAACTCATACCCAACAAAACATAAAAGATTATATATGTCCAAGACCATTCAGAAAACTGGAAAACCATAAACCAAGGTTTATATACAAATCTAGTCATACATGACCATCAAAAGTAAACAAAAGAGACTCAACAAAAGCCTCGTACGTGAGGCAACCTTGGCTGACTCCAAAATCTCGGTAACCTTTTACAGTCTCACTAAGGATGGGGTTGGACATCCGGCTGCTTGCCTACATACATATATATAAACAAAGTGATTGAAAACTCAGTGAATAATACCAGAATAAAGAGGTTAATGAATGAGATTTGTATATAAATAAATCGTACTTATACTTAATACATATGAAACACAATTCTCATTCTTAACAGACTTAAGCAAATCCTAATGGAACGACCTCAGGTCCAATCCATTATACTCAGAATATATTAAAGGGATGAAATGACCTTGACTCTTCATATACAAAATGACCTTCAGTCCAATACATTCATATTCAAAACGACCTTCGGTCTAATGCATTCATATTCGCAATGACCTTAGGTCCAAAACATTCATAATCAAAATGGCCTTCGGTCCAAAACATTCATTCATAATCTGACCTCACGTCTAATGGATGCATACACAAATGACCATCCGGTCCGTCAAAACATATATACAAATGACCCCAAGTCTATCATTTCCAAATTTATATTCATGCACGTGTTTATAATTATGATCATGTTCACATTCATATTCACCTTCAAAACGACCTTTGGTCCAATCAATTCCTTGTTCAAATGACTTTTGGTCCATAGTCATGATCATGTTCACATTCGTATTCATATTCCAAACGACCTTTGGTTCAATCAATTCCTTGTTCAAAACGACTTTTGTTCTATCTAACAAACCTACAAAACGACATTCGGTCCAATTCTTATATAAGATGACCTTAGGTCTATCTTGTCAAACATTCTAAATGGCCTTAGGCCTACTTCGTGTACTTGTCAAATATACCAAACAGCCTTGGGCCCGTTTTGTATTCATACAAAACGACATCCGGTCCAATCTTATAGTTTTGTGCTTATCAATCACTTTTTCTAGTCTTTTACAAATCAGATAGGTAGAATACTCATTCATAATACAAATTCATGAGTTCGGCAAACTTACCACATAGGTAATATTTAGAAAATAACATACATGAAAATATCTTTACTAAGATATTACTTACAGTGTTCAGATAGTTGATTCGTTCTCGCAATTGACCCTGCACAATTCATAGCACATATGGAAATCGGGTCACAATACAATTCAATCCATTCTTTAATTTATTTATCTTTCTTAGGCTTCTTTCTAACTCTTTAGTTCATTTAGAATACTCAATGTAGGCCTAAGAGTGCTCAGAAATACAAAAGAATGGAAAGTGAAACATAAAACAACTTTCAAAGTTTTTTGAAACGCGACACTTCGCTTGAGCGCAACATTGGTCGCTCGAGCAGACCACTAGGTCTGCAAAAGTACTAGATACATACAAAGTGCACTCGAGCGACAAATTGTTTGCTTGAGCGGTGAGGCAGAATTCTAGAATTTC